GCAGGGAGGATGGCTCCCGCTCACTGGGCGCTCACTGTGTGCCAGGCCCCCTGGGTAGTGGATGATCCCACTAACCCTGAACGATCCGGAGGTGCTGCTGCCGCCCCTGGAGCACAGACTGCAGACTGAGGTGCAGAAGAGCTCAATGGCTTTTCCAAGGCCATGGGTCTCATCAGGGAAGGTAGAAGGTTCATCTGGGGTCTCATCAGGGAAGGTACAGGGTTCACCTGGGGATTCTGACCCTACATTAATTTGCTAGCACTTCCATCAAAGAACACTGCAGACTTGGTGGTTTAAGCAATGGAAATGTGTTTTCTCACCAGTTCTTGGGGCTGGAAGTCCAAGACAAAGGGCCTGGCAGGATGGGTTGTCCATGAAGCCTCTTGCGGAAGGCCACAGTCTTACTGTCTCTTTAGGTGGTTGTACACCCTGGGGAACTCGGTGTGCGCAGACCTCTTGTGAGGAAACCAGTCAGATTAGATTAGCATCCACCGGAAGAGTATCATTTTACTTTAATTACCCCTTAAAGTCTCTGTTTTCAAATAGAGTCTATTTCCTGTTGTGCCTTCAGATGGCAGAAGGAGAGACAGAATCTTTCTCTTCTTATAACCTTTTATAACCCCGCAGGCCTAATGCTCACAATTGGGGCAGGGTTTCAATATATGAATTTTGGGAGAACACAGTTTAACTTGTAATAGACCCTCAAAGCTAAGTCCTAACAAGTTTACAAGCTAGAGGACTGAGAGCCAGGGACTCCACGAGTCTCACTGATGTTCACTCTCCTTTGGTAAAGGGCATTCAGACTTCCTCAGATGCATAGGCAGAAGCAAAAGGGCCTGTTCTTCCTTGGTTCCCTAAGGCCAGTGTGGTGGGGAAGGATAATTAGTGAGCTCTTCCTGGGGAAGCTAACTCTTGGGCAAGTTGCCCAAGCTCTCAGGCACTCTCCTTCCTCACTTGTGAAATAAGGCATAATGATAGTGCCCAGCTAAATGGGGATATTGTGAGAATTAAATGAGATACTGTAATCGAGTGCCTGGAACATGGTAAGACCTTAATAAACTTTAGATGCTATTAAGGAAGTGGTATTTTCTTTTCCATTAGATACCTCTTTTCAAAGAGGCTTTAGAATGTTATTAAACATCTTAGTTTCCTATAAAAGCCTTTTTCAAATCTTTTGGTCTTGTTACTCTAGAGCCTAGAGATCCTCTGCTCGGAATGAGTTCCAGAATCATTTATGATTGGAAATATATTGTTTCTCTCTATTGGTAAATTAAATGTTCAATAAAAATCTTGTTAAACTTGGTCTCACGTTTTAAGTGCTTTGATATAAAGTTTATTTTTCACACAACAATGACTAATATCCTTTGGAATATACTTTGGTAATGGCATCTTATATAAGTTCTCGTTTATACCCTTATATAAAGTTTCTAGATCATACTGCATATGTCTGTTGCTATCCACCATAGCAGTGTACACAGTGTCACCCAATCAGGTCATGAGCTTCTGTATTTTAATTGACCAAGACCCTGATGTGAGATGACCTCACCTTCAGGGAGAAGTGACTGTCATGGAGGGAGCATTGGATCAAAATTTTCTGCACTTCACTGACCTTATTTATAACTTCAGTGTGACAAATTAGGGAGCCCTGAATTATTTCTACTTCTCAGTTCTATGAAATCCTAAAACAGTAGCATTAAGGTGGGTGAAGTGTTGTGATATTAGTAGGCAAAACAGAGGAAGAAGGTGTAACTTATGGAAATCAGTGACCACTAACCAAATAAGAGCAAGGGAAGGCTATTTGTTCTGAGCACGCTCTAACCAGCCGCATCACTCGTGAGACTCAAGGCAAATAGAGGCGTAGGGAAGCTTTCAGAGGGGGAGGAGGGGTGGGCATGGGGCTTCCGCTGTGCCCTAGCTGGAGGTGTTGGCCAGGGGAACCTGAAGGTGGCCTACGTTGAAGCAGGGCACCCTGTGTAATTGGGGTGCCTATTTGGTTTTCTCTAGCTGTTTCTAAGTTGGAAGTAGAAACAAAAATTAGGGAACCTGATAGTTACTAATCAAGTCCTGGCCATTGTGGGCAATTATTTGAATTCCTGGACCAACTGCTAGAGATACCTGAATACTGCTGACCCTGCTTCCTGTTAGGCTGATTATGGACGGCAGGCTGGGTGTCACTCCTGGATGTGTGACTATCCATCATGGGTTCCTGGGCTGCTGCAGCTGGAGGGTCCAGGTGCTGTTTCAGTGTGTGGTTTGGCCCTTGTCTGTTTGCATATCCAGTCTCTTAACTCTCATTAGCTCTTGGGTAAAACTCTCAGTTCAACTCAATTCAAACATCCAAGTTGAAAGGGATGAATCTGGATCACTGTGTGAGTTTCTGGTAAAAACGACAACGCATGAAACTGGATCTTTCCAGAATTTGTTTCCTATAGTTCATCTTGTTACAAAACATTTATTGAATCCAATTGTCAGCCTTTTCCAATAATGGAAAGACATCCTCTTGAACATCAGAAGCACATACAAGGCCGAACTCTGCACTTTCAATGGCTCCTGTGGTGACTAGTGGCAGGGTCACGGTTTAGCTCCATGTGCTGGCTCCCAGGGAGTCACTTAAGACTGGCTTGGGCTTCACATACACTTCTCAGAAGTTTTGGAACTATTCTTAGGATCTCTATTTTATTTCATCTTTTAATAAAAAGAGAAAGAAGTCCCTGTCCAGTGGTCCAGGAGCTCTGGCCTGTTTCCTGCCAGGAACCTCTCTGTGACTAGTGGGGAGAGGCTGGGGGTCCCTGGCATCTCCACACAGTAGCTGTGGAGGAAAAACCAATAGAACATGTCAGGTTGGACAAAGAGGAAGAAGGAGGAGTCTCAGAGCCTGCGTCACTGGTCCCCAGGAGACCCAGACCTGGTGTTTTGCTCTGGCTCTTAAGCCATGGTGCCTCCGAGTGCCCTCTCCCTGGGTGTCCTGCTCTCTTTTCCAGGCCAGCCTGCCACAGGGCCTGGGAGCAGTCAAAGCCTCTCAGCTGACCCCAGAGCTGAGCCCTTGGAAGAAAGTCTATGCCCCATTTTCCTTACTATGTCCATTCCCGTCCAATTCGATTCTCAACCCTTGGTTCAAGATCAGGCTGAACTGCCCCTCGGAGAAAGTGTGGTGCAGTTATCAGACACGTGGGAATGGTGCATAATATTAGCCCTTCAAAATACCAATGGCAAAACATGAAGTGAAGATGATGAATATGAATACAGATAAATAGCAAGTCTTTACTACTTAAAGCAAGTGAATAATAATAATTTTAAAAAACCCAGCAAATTATGCATTGAAACACAGTGTCAGAAAGCAGATGCCCCCAAGTTAACTGGTGACCTCAAGGGACGGGAATTCTGGGTTACGTATTCTTTCTTTATGGCTTACTGCACTTTCCAATTTTCCTGTTACAGAAGCATAAATGGTTGTAAAATCCAATTAAAAATATTTTGTCCCAACACTGCTTTGGTACATTTTGTTCAGAAGAAACATGTATACCTTTGTGTCCCTGTGTCATCTTAGGAATAGATGGAAGGAAAATCACTACAGATGGGATTTTAACTGGACCACCCCAGTCACTGGAAATAGGTAGAAGACTGAGGGCAATTGACATTCGAGGGTCTTGAATTGTTCTGCTAACTGCTTCCCTTCTCTCTTTACTTTGCAGGCCAAGACTTTTTTTCCCTGCTTTAAATGTTTTGGTTTTGAAGCTTTTAAGAATTATAGTTGTTCTAACTTTTAGTATACTTAATTTTCAAAACATGAAATTTGAAGTAGAAATAAAAACCCTGAATGTATTTGAAAACCGCTGATACCTTCTTTTTCACATAGGACAAATCCATTGCATCTCATATTATTTTTATTGTGTCTATAAATCGATTGGAACAATAAAAACCCAGAAGCCTGAACATCAGGAAGAAAAGGAGACTTGGGCACAAGTTGGTGGTGACTCTTTGAAATGCATATTTGGTCCAAGCCACAAAAGTGCAGAATGTGGCATCTTTTCCTGCTTTGTAATGAAGGGGAGCAGTGTCCTCTCTAACGGGCAGTCAGTGACTCGATAATGCTGCTGCCTAGGTCTTCTTGGGGCAGAGATGATTCTTGTTCTGGTTGCTATTTGTTCCTCCTTCCTGCTGGGCCATGCTCAAAAATGGGAGACATCAGGACATACTTTTTTTGCATTTGCCATCTGACTTATTTATTTATTTATTTATTTGCATCTGTATCCAGCTTGTTTTTCCCAGGGGTCTCCCATAGCAACTTTGGCTTCTCTCTAGCAGCCATGAGAACCTGCTCAGGACTCATTCCATCCCTTGCCTGACTTTCTCAGGAATCAGACCTGTCACCATTATGTTCTGAGCATTCAACATGGAGCTTGGGCTTCAAAACACTCCTGAAAAGAATAAGTAAAATCAAGTGAAATAATAACGGAGGGTGCTTGCTATGTTTCAAGTACTGCTTTAAGGACCTTACCTATATGAATTCCTATTATCCTCATAAATCACTTGAGACACTTCTATTATCACTGCTGATGTTCAAATGAGGTAGAGGTGCAGTGGGGCTTGCAGACTTGGCCTTCAGATCAGCAGATGTTCAAGGCTGTGCTTCTCCTAGGGCCTCCCCCTAGGCTCCTCGGAGTAGGATGGTGGGGACCACCCTGACCTCATGGAGGGCAGAAGGGGAATGCTCGGCCAAGGCCATGTGACTACACAGTGACTTTCTCTCTTCAATGCTACCCAGACTACCTCTCAATCCACTGGCCATTGGTGTATCAGGGGGCCTCTTATCCACCCAGACCCTTAGCCACCAAGCCAGGCTGACCCACCTGCACACCTGTCATTGGGCTCAGAGAAGCAGCAGCTGGCCTTCTGGAGCACTGGGGGCATTTGTCTCAAACCCTATTGCTTCTTTTCCCCTCTGGTCTCTTTCCCTATATTTTTCTTGTCCCTTGAGTCTCTGGGCTTTAATTCTAGCTCTAGGTCCTCCCCTTTCTGTTTTTGCAGTGGCCCTTGACTTCCCTGCGTGAGCCTCACTGCGTTCAGCCAGCGCCCAGCCTGGACTCTGCTCCACCAGCAGCTTCTGGAGGATCTCCTGCTTGTCATCCAGCCCCAGTGCCCAGTGCTGGTGTGGCCTCTAAGGTAGGGGCGGGGTTTCCCCTGGGGCCTATCACATGGCTCTGCAGATAAACTGTGTGACAGGCTGTATGTCTCTTGTTCCAGAGGGGCAGTGGGACAGGGTGGCTGTAAAGCCTTCATGATCAGATTTCAGATTTAGGCTTACTGTGGCTTGTCTCCCCAGCCTCGCCTGTCAGCTCTCTCTGTGGTCACCCAGCTCCCACATGCCCTTGTCTCAGGGCCATTGCACCCCCACACCCACTGCCCAGGGAACTTTCTCACCCCCATCCCTGTCACCCTTCCTCTTCTGACTCCTGCTCACTCTTTGGGCCTCAGTGTGGTTGTCACTTCCCTGGGGAAGCTGACATTGCTAACCCCCACCCCCAGCCTGATCACCTAGGCACCTCCGTCGTCATCGTCATGGCCAATGTTCACAGAGTGCTCGGCCTGCATGCGTGCATCTCAGAGCTTTAGGAGAACACGCTCCATTGATCGCGCACAACAGTCCTGGGCACACGCTATTTTTATCTCCGTTTTGCAGAGGAGGACTTCTGGCACAGGAGAGTTGCGTGTCCTGGCTGTGCTGTGCGTTCCTTAGTGGTATAGCCAGGTTCTGAACCCAGGCTGGCTGGCCCCGGAGCCACATGGTCCAGCTGCTCTCGACTGCCTCTGGGTATGGCATTTGTCACACTGCAGTGCAGTCTGGATACTTCTGTTTTATGCATAGCTGGATTCTAGCATTAAGCTCAAATCCTGGCAAGAATTAAGCTCAATTAATGCCTTTGGTGGAATGAATGCCTAAATTCTAGTTATCGAGGTCTTACAGATGTGAATAATACATTCCTGATTCTTGATCTTGTGAGATCAAGTTTGAATAAAAACAAGGATGGCAATCGACTGGTGTCAGGGCTGTGAGCTCGGGTGTGACTTCTGTGTGAATCATGCTGAGCCGATGTGGAGGAGTCATTCCAGCCCCCACACTGAGTACAGCTGGAGATTGAGGCCAGAGCATTTAGGTGACTTGTCCAAGGTCACACATGGAGCATGTGACAAACAGGATGCCAGGTTGGCAGGTTTCCAGGGCTGTGTCCTTTCTCTGCACCTGGTCAAACAGAAACCATGGTCACATGAGGACATGCAGTCAAAACACAAGTTAAGTCTTGAACTGGTTTGATCACAACTCCAAACAGCGTGAGGGGACTCGTGGCCTCAGTGCTCCCTGGGTCTGTGTGACCCACAGAAAGCACAGGGATCTGAGAGGGAGGCCAGAGGCAGCTGAGTGTGGAAAGCCTTGGGGTCTATGCCAACAGAGGGGACTTTCTTGTGGTGTGACTCCCCATAGCACGCCTGTGGCTTGCTTCTCTGGTCCCCAGAACATGCGCCTGATCTGGAGGCGCCTTCCAGCTCTGAAGTTGTAACATTCTTTCTCCGGGAGGCCTGTGCTCTGAGCTGTGTTGGTTCTTGCCACTCTGCCTTCCCCCAAGACACACTCTGCTGTCTCTTCCCACCCCCACCCCACCCCTCACCAGAATCATCTCAGGTGGAGGGGAGCCCGACCCTCAGCTCGTAGGTGCAGAGGAAGGGCAGTATCTTGGGGTCAAATCCAGGGGCTTCTCTTGACTTCTCCGGAGCCTGCAAAGAGTTACTTCACGTCTCTAAGTGTTCAGCTTGAAGAGTAGAGTGACTGATGCCTACAGGATAAAAGTTACTGTGACGATAAAGTAGAATGAGGTGTGTGAGGTCCTTGGCAGGACGTTGAGGTTGATTGGACGTCAGCAACATTTTCTCTGTAAAAGTCCAGACAGTCAATATTTTCTGCTTTCGGGGCTTATGTTCTCTCAGCTTCGCGGCTGCAAGGCAAACTCGATCACAGACAACATGTAAACAAACAGATGTTACTGCGCGCCAATAAAACTTTATTTATAGAAGCGAGCGGCAGATCCCTCGCTGTGCTTCGCAGGTCTCTGTAGCAGATTGATATGCATGTTGCTTTTTCTGTTTCTACTTAGACAGACGTTAGGTTGTCTGTCCTGTGTTTGTCTTTCTGTCCCATCCCTCCCTGTCTCATTCTTCCTTCTGCCAATGGATGTATGTATTGATTTCTCTTCGTCCAGGGGTCTAAGTTCCAGTGAGCTGCCATAGGTGAGGAGCCCTCCCTCCCCATTCCAGGCCCAGGAGCCACATCCGAGGGACCCATGTGCTGTGGCAAGGGGCCTTGCATCAGGGGAGATGACAGCCTTCCTCAGGACCCAGGGAGGCGCAGGCAGGGAGGGGCTTTGTCTTCTGAAGAGACACTGTGTTTTGATGCTAGTGGACATTTGCAGCTGGCACATGGTCGCTGGCCAGCAGCGGGCCTGATGTGTGGCCCCACTGCAGAGGGTTCCTCCTCCTGCCGGCCACGCTGTTGCCTCTGCTGACAGCAGGGCCATTGTTCCTGCCATTGTGTGGCAGCAGGGTGTTGGGGACTGTGGGCAGGGTTGGAAGCAGCCACTTACATCACCAAGCTCAGTTAAAAAACAGAAAGATAAAGGTCCAGGAGAGAGGACCAGGTGCCCGCCACAAGCCAAAGTGACCTGCTGAGCTCAGGCTTTCGGATCAAGGGTGACATTTTCTGTGAGTTGCTCTGGGTTTGGAATGGGACACATTCTTTGAGATGCTGGTAACTGGAACATGTGGAGGTTTAGTAACACCTCTGCTAATCTCAGTGTCCTGGCCAGAGGCCAGGAGGAAAAATACTCTTGATGTCCACTGAGACTCCAACTGGTCTCTGCTGTCCCCAGCCTCCAGAACCATGAGCTAAATAAACCTCTGTTCTATATAAAGTTCCCAGTTTGTACTATTTAGTTATAGCAAAAGAAAATGGATACAGTCTGTGGGTTTACAAATTTTGGTATTATTTTCTCACTTGTGAAATAAGGAAATGACATCCAATTCCTGGGGTGGTTAAGAGGATGAGATGGAATCATGGATGTAAAGCGTCCATTGTCAGGCCTATCACATAGTAGGTCCTCAGTGAGGGCTGGTAACTCTGTAGGTACCTTCACTGGGCAGAGCTAATTGTCAAGAGTCCTGGACTGCAGACCTGGCTCTTCCACCTTTGCTGTGTGACTTGGATTGGTTACTGCCCCTCTCTAGCTATCCTTACTCTTAAGATTCACTCTTTCTGCTCTAGTGTCTCAGGGGAGAGGTCATCACAGAGCCTGTCTTGCAGAGATTTGCCTTTAGCACCAGCACAGCTGTAGATGGTAGAGGTCACAGGTAAGGAGTTCCAGGTGCATATACATGAAGCATGGAAAGCTGGCATCCCCCCACCATACAAGCCACTAAATTTTACTCTGAAAGTAAAAAAAGTATTCTTCCACACTTGACGGCCCCCAGACTCAGCACCATGAGCTTCAGCATCACCACCTCCACAGGAGCAGTAACGCCTATTACACACATTACACACCTGATTCACTGGACCTTCACAAGCACTCACGACACAGGTGCGACATCACCCCTGAATTAAGTATTTGGCAGCAGGGCATGGAGACCTCACCTGGCCAACGACACACAGCTAAGTAGAAACGGGCTTTGATCATGATGGGTGTGGGCACTTGGTGTAAACAGCAAATGGTGTAAACAGATGAAGCTACAGACTGCCGGACACTGGGTGGAGGAGTTGGGTGAGTAGTGGTGGGTACACTGCATTCATTGGGGCCCATCCCAGGCCTGCTGGAGGCCCAAAACACATTGCATAACCTCTCTAGGCCACAGCTGCCCCAGCTGGGTTGGGGCCTGAGAGGGTCCAGAGTGAGAGCGGCCTCCAGGAAGACCTGGAAGAGGGCAGGCCTTCCACTTCCTCCTGAGCCTGCAAAGCCATCAGCAGTGGGGTGGTGCATGATGTTGTGCTCCAGAAGAGCAGACGCAGAGAGCCAGAGGCCCAGGAGAAGCCTCCACAGGGTGTGGCTCTGTGATATAAGAAAAAACTACACTTTTTAAGTGACTTGAACCTTCTTTTTTAAGTGCTTTGTCCACTCAAACCCTTTGGAAAGGTCCTAGGATAACCTCTCCAGGACTCTCTGGGGAAGAAAAACAAGGAGGGATTGCACATGACATCCAGGAAATGCCCCTGCTGTGGCCCTAGGACAGCTCACCAAGCCCTTGACATTGTGCTCAGCCCAGTGCTGCCACCTCACACAGGAGCAGAGCGGGAGCCCGCCTGAGTCCATGTCCCCCAGCAAGCAGGGGCTGTGGCAGGGCTGGCTTTGAACTCGCCTCCTTCTGACTCCAGCCTCATCCTGACCTGCTCTGCTTTCTTCCCTTCGTGTCACAGGGGAGGTGCTGTGTGACTGCCACTGTCACCTCTGCTCCTTCCTGCTCCCTGACGGCACCCATAAGAAGTTCTTGCTGTTCCCAGACTTTCCGAGGTCTTGATCGTCTTTGCCGAGGCTTTGTGTCTGCCAGGATTGCCCTTCGCAGTGTCCCCCATCCATTAGCACTCCGTTCCCGCGTCCCTGTCCTAGGAAAGCTTTTCATGTTTTCTGTGGACAACTCTGTGGCTTCCAGCCTGATCTTCCCGAATTCATCCCCCCTTTTCCTGCTGCGTCCCCTTCATCAGCCTTCAGCAGCTCCCCACTGTCCCTGCAGGTGCCTGGCACACTGGGCCAGCTCTGGCTGGCTCTGGCCCATTGCTCTCCGGGGCCCTGCTCCACTGCCTCCCTCTCACTCTCCAAGCTTCCTCCAGGTTTTGGAGGCTCCTCACTCTGTCTCTGCCTTCCCTTCTCACCTGCCTCTCCCTCTCCCTGAAGCCCTCTGTCCTCAGTGACATCTATTTCCTCACTTGCTATAGTCTCGGTTTAACCACTTCTTCCCCAGGAGACTCTCAGAGGCCAAGTCAGCTGCCCATGTTCTGTGGACACCATCGTCCAACACATCACTCTGTGCTCCTGCTATTTATGAGTTTCCTTCTCCCCTGGTAAGCTCTGCCAGGGCAGATGGCAGGCCTGGGGCAGAGCTCCTGGTGATACCATGTAGATGGATGA